TTAACTCAACTTTAACCCTCCATTTTGCTTAATAACGATCAGCTAAAAATGACGTCACATGTGTGGGTATCTGTGAACTTCTTCTCGAAGGGCTGGTACCCCATTAAGTTTAAAGTTTTTAGAAGTTTGAGGAACCAGCATTAGATTACAAGCGAAGAGAAGCGTTTTTTGATCATCCTATGCCAGGAAATATTGAGATAAGCTCAGTAGCTTATATCGATTACTGGTTATTACATGAGAGGTTGGAAAAACTACATTATTTTTGTAGTTTTCTGCAAATATTACTACTATGTTAAAAGTGTAGTTAACTAACTACTGCTACTACTTTTTTTTAAATGTAGTGACTACAAACTACTTTAGAATTTAGTAACTACTTCACTACTTTAAGTAACCGAACTTTGCTGCAGAAATAAATTTACACTTGTATAATTTACACTGCTGGAGATATTAATTTACGTATTATGATCAAATGATTTTGAATAAAAAAAAATGACTTATACTAAAACATGAAGAATTATTTGGAAATACTTATTCATGATCTTTGGAATATGTTCATTTACTTTTCAACTTTTTATGACCTTCTTGACAGCGAATATTTAATTTAAGAGATGCTAGGAAATTATCAAATGCTTGCAATTTCGTTAAGTGTTTAATGCTCTTTTATTTCCTCTAAGAAATTAATTAAATGCATCGAAAATATCTTCCCTTCCTTTGAAATATCATCAATGTTTTACGATCCTAGAGTCCCAGGCCAAATTATTAGACGCACTATAAGATTCTATGTAAAATCTTAATTATCAGGTGATACTATACAGTTTTATTGTTTTTATGTGACTGAAACCGGTTTGCACTTGTTTTCGTTCGTGTATGAATGGGTTAACATTGTTATGCAATACGTTAAAAATAAATACAAATAGGAAGTATATAAAAAATCTCCTTAATAAAAACCCATTACATGGATGTTTAAATATAAAAGTATTGCAGATTAACTCTTGCAAAACATGTAATTATTAAAACACTACAGCGCTTCTAATAATTTGGTCTAATTATTATAATATGCTAATATAATAACTTATATAATAGATATTCTATATTTATATAATATATCGTGCAATTTATCCAATTGTCGAATTTATATTATATATTCTCTAATTTAACCAATTGATACACTAACGTAACGTAACAAGTACAAACCGGTTTCACTCACGTGAAAACAGAAAAGCTGTATAGTACCACTTGATAATTAAGATTTTCATAGAATCATAGTAGCACACTACGCTACGCGCTACTTCCGACCTCTGGTTCTGAAATTAAAAATCGTTTGGATGAAAGAAATTTACTGTGATCTAAATAAATATTTCAACTTTTAAAAAGTTTTATTATTATTATTATTTTTAAAAAATATTTCTTAAATAAATATTAAATATTAAAAGTTATTTCTATGATTTCTCATACCGTAATGTGAAACAAAGTAAAAAAGTCTCCATAACAACAAAATATTCTTTAAGACATGGAAAATAATAAACCTTCTGATTATCATTTTATAAAAAATTCTTATTCTCATTTAATCGCTTGATTACTGAATAGTTACTTTTTTGTTATTTTTTACATTCATATTTTATTCCTGTTAAGTATAAGGTTATGAAAATAAGTTATTTTCTTTTCTCTCTTTGTGCTCAAAGCTTCCAATAGTCTTAACGAGTTTAAATAAAAGCACAAATCCAGCTGAGACGTCGAAAAAATTTAAATAAAAGCACAAATCCAGCTGAGACGTCGAAAAAATTTAAATAAAAACATTGCACTATGCATTTTCAGAAATAGTTTCTTCTCATTATATTTGTAGGTTGGCAAAGTTTTTACATAAAACAAAAAATCTTAGTTTTAAATTAATATATCACATATTTCAAATAATGAAATTTTAACAAAAATATTCAATTGTATTCTTTTCTACAGTATATATTTTTTATTTGAAATATTTACACAAATGAGAAAATTCAGGCATTAGTATAATAGCTTTAGGAGAAACTACAAATTATTACAAATTATACTTTACTAATAACTGAAATTGCAAATTAAAATGATTATTAAAATTTTAAAAAGTTAATTGCATTATTTACATGTAACAGCTTAAAATCGAGCAATAACATTTTTTATAATAATAAAAACATTGATGCTTTAAACTTTAATTATTAGTCCTATATCGTTCTAGAATTTCTTACCAAGAATACTTAGTTCATGATGAGGAATTATATAGTTCATAGTCACTTATTGTTTGTAATTTTTCGGGAGTACTCCTTTGTTTTAAACATTACTTCTAATTTTTCCAATATTCATTCCTTTTCCCCAGATTTTTCTTCTTTCCCAAATTTTTCTTCTTCATACCTTTCAATCATGTTCCTCATGTCTTCTTTTTCGGAAGAGGAAGCGCGCATTTGGTCGATGAATTCGAACATTCTAGATTTTGCTGCATCGAACATCTCCCTGGTTACGTCTTGAATGTTTCCCATTTGGCTTTTGAACTCACTCATCATTTGGTTCCACGAATCCTTAATGGAACTCAGCACATTTTTCAGAACACTTTTGATTCTGTCAATCAATCTTTCTTCATCTTCGCAATTCACTGACGAAACACACAGAATCACCAACGACGTCACTAATATGAATTTCATATTTTAGAATTTCTGAATTCCAATTTGCAAACGATAAAAAAAATTAAGAATAACTCAGTTGCGAAAAAGCAGACTATCTTCTGCAAAAATAAAAGTGCAAATATTTTTTTTAAAAAAAGCAGACAATATCTTTCTCTAAATTAAACTAGAATCTAAGAGACTTGAAGCACAGAAATGGTCAAAATATACCGATCGCAGTGCTATTTTATCGCAAAAAATACTATTTATCAAGTTTTGATTCAAAATAACATATTTTGCATATAAATTGATGCACGCAAAATACGTCAGATACTAAAAAGGCTTTAAAGTAAATTTTTATTGGGTGGTATTTATGGTAACGGTTTTATTAAGAATGGTTGTTGTTTAGGCTAACAAATGATTTTCCTCTTGGCTTTTATTTCACACAGACATTGAAAAGAATGCTTGTCAAGTTGTCTATAGAAATCAAGTTAGTGCTATCAGCGCACAACATAAAGGTATTCTCGCTGATAGCGTGCGCATGCTTTGTGTAAGTTTTGATTATTGCGCAAAATAGTCCAGCTCTAGGAAACTTTGTCAAGGTCATACATTGTGGTATTGAAAATACACGCACTTACTATTGTTAATTTCGTTTTCCTCTACTATTATTAAGTAACTTCTTTCTAAGAATCATAAAAAACTCTGAATAATAAGAGCATGAATAATTATAAATTCTATAATCATTATCTAGAGCAGAATGACTTTTCAACTTTAATTTTGTTTACTCAGCTGATAATTTTTCCAAGAAATTTATGATTGAACACAAAGTTTCTCGTTACTCTAAATCGTCAATAACATGTTATTTCAAAAAATTTAAACAAAGCTAAAATTGATTAATGGTGTACAGTTTTAAAAATTCTAGCTATTGAAAAATTCAAGGGTTTTAACATTGTGCAATTTTTGTTTTATTTAATAAATACAGTCGAACCTCGCTAACTCGAACCTTGATTTTACGAATTTTTCGATATCTCGAAGGAAAAAAAAATTCCCTTCAAATTTCCTATACACTCAATGTTAAAAAAAACTTGATTTCACGAATTTTTTTTTCTAATCNTCATTTAGTGGTACAGTGGGCTTTTAAAATGTTCTTATTTATTTATATGCCACAAAACTTGTGTTAGCTATGCATATACAAGATACTTCAGTTTTAAAAGAAAACACAATGAAAAAATGTGGCGATATTTATTAAGGAAAATTTAAGAAAAAAAGTGTTATCCGTAAGGTAATTACAAATTTTTAAAAATAATTTACATTTTTTATAAATTGATCATAAATAAGGCTTATAACAAAAGTTACTTGAAATTATTTCAAAAATATATGTTTACATAGTTAAAAAAATAGTAAAAACTTAGACAAATTCATAACATTTTGTGAAATAGGAGTACTTATTTAAAAAGTTTTGCATTTTAAATTATAAAGTTTGAAACATTTCACTGAAATTTCAATCTATTTTATTTATGAAAAGATGCATTTGAGTAAAAAAATATACATATTGCATATGTAAGTACCTTGAATATGTATAGTTTACACAAAATTAAAATGGATTTCAGAATTGATTGATAGTAAAATATTAAAAACAAAATAGTTCATTTTTGAGATTTTGGAAGTAAACTTCAACAATTTATTAAACTCAACTTTTAATTTGAATGTTAATTTTAACTGTCATGAAATCAACAGAAAAATTACTAAAAAATTCTCACTTATGATTTTTTTTTTTTTAAAAAAAGTCCAAATATTTGTAACATTTTTGGACGCAATTGCAAAATACACTTTTAGAAAAAAAAATCAAAATATAAAATTATGAGATTTCAAAAAAAAAAAAAAAAGAATACTTACAATTGCATTCAAAAATATTTGCTGAATAAATGTCGCATTTTTCTTCTGGATTTTGATAAAATGTACTTTCAAATTGATATTGAAAATAGTATAGGTTACAATTACATAATAAATTGTCAGTATATTATGTTATCGTAAAAACTGTTAGTTTATTACGATAAAATTTAGATATCTTTAATAAAATTTTGATTAAACAAATATTTTAACTAATTTATGTCCCATGAAAATGAATAACTAGTATGTATATGATGTAATTACCTACTCAAAAAATTTTTTTTGTTGTTTAGAAATAAATAAATAAATAAAAATTCTCAGAAATATGTAATTTTTCTTAGTTTTACTTTGATGAATGCCTAAGCAAAATAACTTAATTCCCTTTCCGATGTATAAGTAGCTTATTTTGTAATTTTTTTAAATATGTAAGTGCTTAGTGTTATGGATCTGTCACAAAAGAAAGCAAAAATAAACACAAAATCGTAAGGTGACAAAATTTATTCACAATGACAGACATTTTTATTTGAACATGATTTAAAATGAAATGGAAATTCTTTATTGTATGCAATGCAACATGTCATAAGATTTTTTTTTCTGTACAAGTATGTTTGATCGCAATAAATGAAACTTACTTAAATACTGATTTTTATGTAATTTTAAAAAAAAATATGAAATATTTATTTACATACAAATCTTAAATAATTGAAAATGAATAACTTATGGGATTGTTACTATATTATTTTGGAGCAATTAGTTAGAAATTGTTAATATTCGGTAATTAGTTATAGATAACTGGCAGTTTGTTATAAGGGCATAGATATAATTAAGAAATATAAAGAAAATACCTTCCCTGACATTAAACTTAAAAGAAAAAAAAAAAACAAGCAAAAATTATATAGCAAATAATTATTCTCTAGCATTTAACAATATAAGTATTACTAATATAGATTCAAAAAACAACTTCATCAAATTATATTTGCTACAAGTATAGACTTTATCTTTTTTACATTATAGTAATATCAACAGAGTTTATGAGTTCTGCTGCATCAATATATTTTTTCTTTTAAAGCTTTCAGTACTGAGCCAGATATATATAATACATAATTATAACACTGACTTAACCCTTGGATGAAAAAGTAAATAAATTTGCTTTTTATATGATACTGCAATTTATATTTGAATTTGTTGAAGAAAATACCAAATTTAGGCCACAAGTTTTTCATTAAAAGAATTAAACATAAGTAGAATTAAAATAAATAACCACAACTGGATTCAACAGACATAAAAAACTGTTAAATAGTATGAAAAAAAGGTTGAACTACACTGAATTTAGCCACAAATAATCTAAGTTTACTACACATTTTGTAACTTCTTGCTCAATTTTAAAATTTTTCAATGGAAAATTTTAAAAAGTAAAAAATTTGTTGCTTAAAAGCACTTGATCAGCACTTAAATAACTGTCATTTCTTATCTTGCCTTTTTATTTTTCACAAAGTAAAAAACAATCGCTCAGGACATTTTTTAAATTAATATGTCTAGAATTAATACCGCAGAAGTTACTATTTTTTAATTTTTACTGTATATTCTATTCATAACATTCAAATCAATAAATTGGAAACTAAAACACATAAAGTATTACAAAATGAACTAGAAATAATACTAGCAAACTTAAATTTATCAGATCTTATAAATGCAAAAGTAGTAATCTTTTGAAGAATATATATTTTTTTAATTTAAATCTCCCATTAGATCAAATTTTAAAATTACAAACTGACTTCAATTTTTTTCACACCCTTACAGAAGGATTATAAAATAATCGAGAATGTACTTCTGTACTTATTTAAGCAAATTTATTTATTAGTTTTTGTACCTAAAATGAAATTAAAAAGCCATTGTTGGAAATAAATAACATTAAAATAAATTTAGTGAATTTATAACTCGATGAACATGAAAGCAGCACAAATCAAAATTTACAGGATAAACAATGTGAATTTTCACAATAAAGTTAGCAATCTCAAATATTCTTTCATATATACAAACACTAATACAGGGTTAAGTCAGCAATATTTCATCGACTCAATCTTGCGCAATCAAGAGATCGTAAATGCATAAATTATGAAAGTTTTTTTTCTCTAAAAACTTTTTTTTTTATCACTTTTATACAAAAGAATAATGTCATATACAGAATATAATATAAACAAATTTCTGCTGACAAACTAACACAGCTCTAGCAGCTATGCCAGCTACAGAACACAATCACAAAAGTCATAAAGCTAAAGACGAAACTAAAGAGCATTTCCCGCTATCTCCATCATGTTTCAAGTATCCATGAAAGATAATTAAATATAAAATACACCGCAGTCAAAAGGCACAAACTTTGTTGTTTTTTGCTCTTTGAGTGGATGTTGATAGCATAAATGTGTCAACTTTGAAGTAAATGTCGCCCAGAATTCTAATGAATAGGGAAAGTATGCAGAATCTAGATTAAGGTATACCAAAAATACAATTTCAATTTGAAATTTAGGGTTATACCCTATAACTGAATATACTCCATGTAAAACAGATAATGCAGTCGACAGAGCTATTAAACTTTTAGAAAACAGGGGAATCGAAAATATTACCTATAATTTTATTTTGGTTGCCAAATAACAAAAAAAAATTACTTTCCAAAATTCTAATTCTGATAGCTTCTTCCTAGTCTGCTGTCATTTTTATAATTTTTAGACGTTTTGTTAATATTTATTTTGGCAGCATTTTAAGGCATCAGAAAGTCTAGATAGTTATTTAAAAAAAACCTGCCTAATTCAATTATATTTTTAAATTTTAGAATCGGCACAAATTACATTGAGTTGGCAATTTTTTTAGCATTGAGTATGCCCGAATCTGTCATCAAAATTTTGGTAAGTATAATAAATTACTTAAGGCATTGTGATCTGCCAATACCTTTTACATAGAGTATAGTTAGCTACTTAAACACAATATTAGGTTTAAAAATGTAAAAGCCAACATCACTCACAGAATATAACCAATAAGTGAAACAAGAAGGGGGTGGTGGATCAGGTGAGATTATGATGACCTCTGCAGTACACATGATTTTGTATGCAATACTTTCTAACATATTTAAATGGCATTATGAATGACCTAAGGGTGCTCTTGGTTGCAAGACTTTAATAAAGAACCACATTTGCAAAGTTGCTTATGCGGAGAAAACCACAACTCTTTCATAAATAAAACTCCATACAGACATTAATATTCTTCAGACCTCTGAGGCGTATTCTCAACATTAGACATTCTCCTTTCTGCGGCAAACGAGTTCTTAGCAAATCCTGCTAAAACAGACACGGCCACTTCGGATGCTTTATCGATATCCAACAATTTGGGGTTGTCGGTTGGGGTACAGTTACCGGTGGGAGGCGTCACAGGCATTGGTGAAATGTCACTTTCGCTCATTGGATTAGAGTCCCCTGATAAATCGTAAAGAGGGATGTCCTCTCTACTGGATTTGAATCTATGACCTCTTCCACCACCTCTGCTCACACAGTTAGGACAAATATAATCTTCACTTTCACTGATTTCATGCACGTCAAGTCCTACACATAAAAGATGAAACCACTGTTCACAACCACCATCACACTGAACCCAATTGACAGCCTCACCTGCACAAAAATTGAACTAAATTACAGAAAGAACACACAAAGCATACATCATTATAAAGAAATATAATATGAAACATCTAAGACATAAGGTAAGCCAGGTTTTTTTCCTTTTATACGAGTATGGTAAAACTTCATAAGAAAATGAACATTAACATGTGTAAGGCTAAGCGCAAACAACTTTCTCGTTCCTCAATGAAATAGATACCCTACAATAACAAATTAAAAGAAATGTTATATTCCTCAAGAACAAATTGTTAAGATAAAGCTTCTGCATTCTAATTCCTCATAAATCTATCAATCCTTAACACCCCCTCTGCTGACCCTATGGATGGTGATCTTGAAGTCCTATCTCCCATCCCGTTACGTCCACCATGTAAAAGGGGGCAACGGCAAACGATTTGTAGCTAACAAATTTTCTGGTGGGGTTAAATTTCTTTCAATTTGTTTTTGTGGGGTATCGATTTCATTGAGGAACGAAAAAAGCTGCTTGCACGTAGCCTAAATTATTTTACAAACATTTACACGAAATAAGGCAAACATGTAAAATATTTTCTCGTCTAAAAGAACAGTAACCAACCAATTCATTTATGTATGAGATATTAAATACCAATTGAAAAATATTCAAACAATTAAAACAAAGCAAAGATAAAAAAAAAGAGGTGGGAATGTAAAAGAATATTTTGTTCCTGAATGCAAATATTCTATAGAAAAAGAAAAAAAAATCAGATTTGATTAAATATTGTCAAAAAAATATTTTTCTCTATGGCATTATACATCCAACTAATGTTAATTGGAATTCCTATGTCGAAGAGTTTCTTCTCCAAACCTTGTTATGTTGAATTTTTTTTTGTAATAGAAAATAAATTTTTTTGGAAACATATTGTAAACCAATTTTTTTCTACTTAATGCATAATTATTTTTGTCTTACTTTGAAAATGAAAATTATCATTGTTGTATTTCGACTTATAGTCATCTATCATTACATACACATTTATTAGTAGTTATTCTTATGTTTCATAACTCTACTTTCCAGAATAATATTTTAGAATATATTTTTCTACTTTTTAGAACATATTTAGTTCTGAACTTGTTATCTCGAATTTCTTTTAGCATCTTCAACTATCATTACATACACATTTATTAGTAGTTATTCTTATGTTTCATAACTCTACTTTCCAGAATCATATTTTAGAATATATTTTTCTACTTTTCAGAACATATTTAATTCTGAACTTGTTATCTCGAATTTTTTTTTTTTTTTTTTTTTTTTTTTTTTTTTTTTTTTAGCATCCCTTCAACTTTGAGATATTGAGAGTATACTGTATATCTAAACAGGACTCTTAGTAGTGTTTTTGAAAATCAGCTGGTTTTAAAATTAAACATCTGAAATAATGGGTACCTTTAAATTAATAAACACATTTTAAATCTACAAGCTCTAAATACTCACCGATTGGTCGTAGACAACTACCAGCAGAACACAAATCATCGGGTTCATTTTCTCTTGGATCTCCTTTACCAGATGGCATTTTTCTTTCCATTCTACCTTTGGGTCTTTTAAGTTTCTTCTGCTTGTCTATACTTTTTCTTACTTTAGATATTTTTGCACTACTACCATCCTTCATTTCCCTTTTCATCTGCATGAGAGCTTCTTTCTTGGCATCCTTCATCTCACTCTTCGATTTGAATTTCTTGTGTTTCAAACCAGATCCTTCACCAGTTGCCATGGCAGCAGCCAGACTCTGTGGCAGAGAGCTGGCAAACAACTTTCCACCCAAACGCAATTTTTTCTTTTTCTGCTTATTATCCTTTAGAGACATTTTGAGTTTGTTTTTACTTTTCACAATCTAAAATTAAAGGAAAAATAGTGAGTTACAAAAATAAGGTTTACAGATGATATAAATATTTATGTATAAATACAGTGTCGTATCATTAAAGCAGCCTAATTTAAATCAGATTACCAAATAATGAGAGCTAATTAATGATTTCTGACATTTTCTACATAAAAGTCATTAATAAGTTACGAGCAACACTTCATGCATATTTTTATGCTTATATTAATGAGGATATTTTTTTTTTTTGTATTTTTGCATACTTCCTAAATCATAGCTGTCTCAGAAGATTAAATATTTTTTAAGTGAATTAAACTTTTTCTCTAAGTTCTTAACTCTTTCCTTTTTTTTTGGAAGAGGAGAGAAAATAAAAATCAATATTCTGAAACACGTGCCTTTTTAAGTGAGTGCTTTACAAATATTTGACTGTAATTACAATAAAAAGCATACCACAAAGATGACAAATTAATAAAGATATTTATAAATAAGTACTCTTCATAAATGCACAATTCTGAGATATCTAAAAGATTCATTTTTATCAGCAATCAAAGTACAGTATGTCACTTATAACATGTTATGAAAAGAATAAAGCTCCATAGTTTTTTCATTTTTTTTTACAGCTGGAATCTGCATTTTCCTTTTCTCAGTTGAGAAATAAAATCAATTCTTTATTATACTAATCACTAAAAAAATTTTTTTTTGCTGAAGCGGATAAGGAATAACCTGCAAAGCATAAAGAAAAAGCAAATAACACATATGGAAAAGAAAATAAGCAAATGACCTGTGTAGCAAAGAGAATGAGCAAATAATATACACAGTAAAAAGAAAAAGCAAATAACATAGCAAAGAGAATGATCAAATAATCAGCATAGCAAAGAGAATGAGCAAATAACATATATAGCAAAGAGCAAGTGCAAATATCCCAGCATCCTACATGCCAAAGAGAATGAGCAAATAACATACATAGCAAAAAGAAAAAGCAAATAACATAGCAAGAGAATGAGCAAATAAGCAGCATAGCAAACTGAATGAGCAAATAAATTGCAGCCCCTCACATTCTAAATAATCATTAAGCAGTAATAAGGTCACCACTCTCCAGACTAGCTTAAATCGGCATATTTTTAAGAGTAATTTATAAACTTATGGTCAGTTAGACACATTAAGAATTGACATATGCAAATAAAGAAACCTTTTCCTGTGGTTAAAATTTTTAACTATTTCATACAAACAAACATCTTCGTTTTAATGAATTCATTATGGATTTAAAAAAAATGCTCTAGACATTAATTATGAATGATTCAAAAAAGTTTATATTCTTAATACTTTAAGATATTCAGTTTAAATAAGATAAATGCCCGTTTAATAACGAGTGGATTTAGTGTTATTTTAATGAACAATTAATAAAAATTATTTATTGAAATAGCACTTTGAGCAAGAATAATAAATGTTGGCGCCAATGAATAAAATTGTATAAGATAAGATAGGTTAGGCAAAACATTTTTAATACTGAAAAATACATTAAGACACACTCACAAGAACATAATAATCAAAGTTTGTGTGATCACTATACTCTTAGAGCATTATAATGCTATTGCTGAAAGAATTATCAGATTTGACACTAAAATTCTCAGAGAAATCAGGGTTTTCAAGTCTTATTTCCAGTTAGCGTGGACATTCTCAATATAAATTATAAAGGCAAAGAAAGAAATATGTACTTAAAAATAACAGTGGTACTACCTTGTTGGAGGGAACCTTTCCATACTAAATTTCAAAATCATGGAAACACGAAATTGTTTTTTCTTAAACTAAACTTTGACACTAATTTAGAAGAATAAATTGCTATTAAATAACAAAAAATTATAAGAAGAATCAAAAGTGTAGATCATTTATTAATCTTATCATTGTAGGTAATCTATTATTCTAAAGTTTAGAGATAATAAAATATTTTAGTTAGATATTCATAAAAACAGAAGTTTCTCTAATTAGATACCTTTGACTTTAGAAGATTTCCTTTTCCATCATCAAGTTTTCTTTTTTTAACTTTCTTTTTCTCATGCTTCATACTACCTCCATCCTAAATTTGGAGAGAAATATATTTGTTTTGAATATTTAGCCATAACGAAATAAAGAATTTCTAAATTTCCAAGCATAATAGAAATGCTTTTAAAATTTATAATTTAACCATTTAGAAATATGAATAATCATATTTATTATTACTTCATTTATAGAGTTAAATTTAAAAATAAGGACATTGAAAAAATATAGATAAAAACTGTTAGCTATATTAAAAAAGAACTTTGAGGAACACAATAGTTCAATTTACCATTTTATTAACAAATGAAAAATATTAAAATTATCTTGAAATTTAACGTTGGTAACAAAGATTAAATTCATTCAGATTATACTAGCACATTAAAATAAAACTAATGGTTTGTAAACAATAATGACTCAGATACAAAAACTGACAATAATTTGAATGATAATATAACATAATTTGAAAATTAATCAGTGAACGATTCCCTAAATAAGCCACATAGAAAAATCTAATTTGCTTGCACAGAAACCCAGTTTTTATCAGTCTACTGATTTAAAGCTATATTTGATTAGTTTTTATTTATTTAGAAAAGCTTAATCAGGGTGCGTAGCCAAATCTCTCAACAATAAAATAAGCACCTTTTAAGAACTTTTTAAGCACTCAAAAAATATTTTTAAGCACTATACACATAAATAAAATGCAAAATAACTTTCAAAGACTTTACATGATCATGATAAAATAAATAGTTTCTGACAAAGAACTATTTTCTTGATTATATTTAGCCATTATAAAATGATCAAGAGATTTTTCGGTTCGATATCAGAGGATGGAAAACGAAGCCAGAAATTGAGAGTATCTTGCAAAATGCTACAGAGTTGCACATAACAGTGCAATAATCTCACCGAACTCTGTTCAGTAGACGCACATGCAGATCATCAGACAAGTAATATTCTTAGTTTTTTCAACGGTACGCCAAAATAGTTTGCTGTTGAATGAATTGCGAAAACGTTGAATAGAATAATGTGAAAAGCATAATACGGGGCGAAAATCGATATGGTAAAAAAAAAAAAAAAACATTCTTATTTTCGAGAAGGGAAAATTAAGCACTTATTAAAAAGATCCAATGAAAAAATACCTTTAAGGGCTCTTAAAAAAAGAAAATTGAAAATAAGTACCTTTAAGCACTTTTTAAAAATGCTACGCACCATGTTAATATAGAAAATTTACCACGCCGTGGTTTTTTACCATGTCATTAAAAATATAACATTTAATAGATAAATGAATGAAAAAAAATTAGATATGCAAGCAATAAAAAAGAAGAAATTCACAAATCCAAGGAAGAATCAATCCCCATTTATTCACTTTTAGCATTTATGATTATTCTCCGCAATAATAATTTAGATCCCTTCCTTTTTCAAAAGAAAAAAATTTCTACAAAGCATTTTTAAGCCAAAAAAAATATTTTTTTCCCCCCAAATTACTTTTTTTTAAAAACTTTTTTCTTAGAATTCTACTTAACGAAAGCTATTATTCGGTTTTTAAGAGGGGTTTGAAACAAAGAAAATACCTCTAGATCAGAGAAGGGAGACATTGAGAAAGTGTCTCGTCCCAGCTTTGTGGCCTGTAAAATTTTCCAGATGTCATGCGTCTCATCCAAGGTCATTTCCAAAAGATCACCTTCCATCATCAATTGCTCCAGTTGAGCTTTAGTTGATTCTGAAAGTTGTAAAACTGGAGATTCCATTTGCCTTGTTACCAAGGGGGATTTTCTGGCATGCTTACGGGGTGGGGTAGCTGAAACAAAATAAAATTAATCAGTCAGCAGAAATTTCAAAAAATTTTCTTTTTATTATTTGATTTTGATTTTATAGCAGTTAAAAAAAATTTAAACAGACCTAGGTTGTTGAGGGGAAAACACTTAACTTACAATAAATTACAAGAAAATAAAAATTGTATTTCGTTAAAAGAATATTTTATTATGAATTTTTAATGCGTTTTTACAACGATCTTTTTTTATGAATTTCTAACACGAGAGGGATATGTGAAGGATAATAATAAATTCAGAAATCTACACCTCTTTTTGTAACAATTTTGAGATGAGTACTTATTTTCTAATTCAAAAATAAATTTATTTTTAAGATAACCTGTTTTAATCTTATTTTCACTAAAATAACATAACCTGTATTCTAGCACAAATAAGACAATTTTCAAACTTGTTTTAAAAATAAGGAAACTTAACTGTCTTTGGGAATTTTAATTAATTACCCATAATATATGTTTATAATTCTATAAATACATTATTTCAACATTTAAACTTATTGGCTTCCTAATTAATTTTTTTTTTGTAACAGTATAATTTACTTAATCTAAATTAATAGTCAACTGAGTTTGTATCAGCCTTGATTATCAAAACTAAACACAAATAAATTATCAAAAAAAAAAAAACATCTTTAAGAACTATATGTAAAAGAAAACTTATTTATTAAGTATTTAACAATTTATGTATCATAAATATGAGACATTAGTCGAACTATTCCAAGCAACGACTTAGAGAAACATGTGTTATTAATGCAAAATTAAAATGCAAGGTATTTTGTAAAAAAACCTTCTACATAAATTATGACAAGACTTTTAAGAACAATTGAATGATTGTATGCAGAAAAACGCACAGTCCTAACTAATTTTTGAAAAAGTTAAAAAAGAAACTATTACCTGCTTTTTTTAAAAACAACAAAAAAAAACTGAAACAAATTTATTTATAGTACAGTGCTTAAACAATCAATATAATGTTTTTCAGATTTCTTGGGCTGAAAGGACATATAAAAAATAGTTTTCTTTTTAGCTGTTTCAAAAAGTAGTTAGGACTAAAGCCTTTTTTGTCCACAATGATTCAAAATCACCAAATTAAAAAAATTTTAAAAAATACCGGCCACACTTCATAAACTTTTCTTCGAGTAATAAACACAGTACTTAAATAATAAATTTACATACATAAAATTGAAACTTCACTTAACTCAAGTAATATTTCACATACAGAAATCACATCACACTTTTCAATTGCAAAATAAAACAATAGTGATGCACAAAATAATAAGAATTGATAGTGTAAAATAATTTGGATTTAAAATCTTTAAATTTATAGCAGTGAGTGTTTGTTAGACAGAAGGAAAGTTATGAGTGTATTTACTTGCAACAGAGAATTTAGAAGAAGAGGAAGATGAGTATGCATGCTCCATTTTATAACTGACAGAAGAAGCATCAGTATCTGATGCATTACTTCCATCACATATGGGATGGAAAGACTCACCAGTCAGGTCAATAGAACCATCAGCTTCCGCTGCTATGGAACCATCATTCTAGAAAATTAAGAAAGAGACAATTAAAACTTTTAAAGCATATTCCCACATAATTTTTAACTGCATAGTAATCTTTTCCCCACTTTTTTTATAAATCATCACTTTCTTTTAAATTGCCTTTGAGTACCAAACATTGAACACATTCCTGGTAGGTAAGTACTTTATGTTTGTCGCACTAGAGCGGCACAATGGGCTATTGACGATGGTCTGTTAAACACACCTGAGGATCATCTAAAGAAAATGCCATCACAAATTTGATCCTCTGCAGAGGGGATGGCTCCTCTGCTTTGACCTCTGAGCGAAGTCGAGTACTTCACAGTAGAACAGTTTAACGAGGACCGATACCGCCCAACTCGGTCCCTACACAGGCTGATCACCCACCTGCTTAATGACCGCAGTCAGTAATGCTGGACTAGGAACAGTGCTGAACACATTTCCTAACTGGACTCCATGACTTACAATATTTTAAATGCTGTTATTCAAGGAGAAAGTTTTGTTCTACAAGAATCTAAGTCTTCTTTTCTTTTTCAAGTTAATTAAATTGCTAATTTTTACATCATAAAATGGAATATCAAGTTGAGATAAATGAGTAGTTCAGAAACCTCATTTTTGCTTTTAAATGAGGTTCTAAGGCTTCAAAAGCTAGTCATGACATTTTTTACTGTGTAAATAGAGGGTGTCATAGCTGAGGAAAAAACGCTAGTGCTAGGATCATAGATGCACCTCATTCTGGCTACATAGGCGAGTTTGATAAAATATGATCAAGCCATCTTTTGGATGAAAATCCACACCGAACAAAAAGAGAATGGACAAAGAAATTGTAATGCTTCCACACTTTTAAAAAAACAGCAGGAATGTAGTTGCCAACCCAATATTCTAATAATAATTTGTTTATCTTATCACATTTGGTATTCTTTATATATTTAATGCAAACATTCTTAAATAAACATTAAAAATAGCATTATAGTTGATAACAAAAAAAAATGAATTTATTAAAAAAACATACTGATAAAATTTCTTGATTTGCAGCAATTCCTGGTACAGCTTCTTCACTCTGATTAGATGAATGCATGAAATCAGGATGTTGCTGTCTCCCTAAAACAAATATTTACATTAGATCAAAAATAAAGACAATATTTTGTTCACAATACAACCAGGGATCTGTCCAGGGCAATTTACTACAATTTGGTTTTCCACTTTACGTGAAACGGTAGTTTCTCAAAATACTTTTAAAAAAGCAAGTTTTAAGATTCTCCTCGTTGCCTCTCAAAATTTTGTTTTTGTATACCCCTAAAAAAACGATAAATATCGGGTTAATTATGCAATTCGATTTGCAATGGAGTCCTCTCACAGATTGTTACTATGATGTAATAGAAGAATTCACTTGGTTTTGGTCAGATTATGCAGTGTGGTAAGCCTACTCGGTCGCTCATGCCATATTATAGCGAGCATTTTTTTCCCCACAAAGTTTTTTTAAAATGAAACGATGAGGCTCTCTCTCTCTCTGTAAACTTTGCAGGAAGTCGAAATTCGAACTATTATCTCAAACATTATTCTACATTTATTCTATCAGATCTTTTTTTATGAAACATTATTTTTCTCTGTGAAACTTTTTATTCTGTATGACCTAATCGAAAATGTTCTCATAATGAAAATAACTTTTAGTGCTACTGCTGTTAAACGCATGATTTTGTCAAGTAGAAATTTAACTATCGACAATGATTTTTATGGATTTATTAATTTGTATAGAATTTTTTAGCCCAAAATTTTACAATGGCAAAATAGTTTTTCAATATATGAGGGAAAATATATAAAATTTTACCAGTCATAAATGGTTTTTATTTGTAGTGACAATTTTTGAAAATATTTTGCTTACTTTGCTATATTTTTGTGCTGATTTTTTAATATAATATTTAATTTTCACAATTTATGTCTGAATTTTCACAAAATAGGTACCTCTTCAAAAAAACCTAGACAGACCCCTGACGTTTAAGAAAATGGAGAATATCAAAGATTGAAAATTGAACACTATTCAACAGTATAAATTTAAATTTTAACAAGCAGTCTATAATGCTGTATACAAACATTTTAATTCACCATTCATTTTAAAACAATATAAACCCTGTGGCAGAATTTTTTCAGGTTTTCTGCGACATACCTCTAATAATAATATCTTTCTGCAAGATTCTTTTTAAAATAACAAATATACATGCTACTAAATTAAAGCAACAGCAGCGTCAACTTAAAAAAATAATAATAATAATAATTCTTTTTGGATGAAATAAAATAAATTTTTAATAAAATATGTAATTTTTTTTATTCTAATATTATGGGTGATGTTCTCGCATTTTGTAAGGGGAAACTCACTAATTATTTCCTCTTTTGCATTTTATAAATCATTATCACATTAAAAAAACAACTAAAAAATCGTGAAATGCGTATCAGTAACTACCGGAGAGAAAAAGATCGACGACAAAACCACGCGAATCGGATGATGAAAAGGGCTACTAAATGTGTGNAAAGCCAGGGATAAAGTCTATATTCACATGACCACATTTTGAATTTCTTATCTTCATTCATTGAAAACAAAAATTCCAGTCTGTTTAGTAATAAAATTCTTTCCAAATAGAAAAAATATTAATTTTTCCACTTACTGTCTTCTACTACGAAGGGGAAAAAACTGTTTTAAAAGCAAAAAATTTGACATTTTTAAATAAAATATTTTGGCTCCACTTAAATTTATTTTTATATATAGAATTAAGTGGTACACACCATTAAGTGTTAATGACTTTATAGTAATATATCATTTACACAACAACAATATACTGATAGCTGTATTGAAATCCTAATATGACAAAAATGAAGTTAATTTTCACTACAACTAAATATTTAAGACTGAAGTGTTGAATAAAAAATAATCAATGGTAAAAGCAAAACAATGCAAATAACGCATAAATAATGACACAAAATGCATTTTTCACATTGTTTAGCTTGATTCATGGTCAAAGTAAGATATAAACATAAAGTATCTGAGCACACAATCCAAAAGTATCTGCAAGCTCATAATATTTTTAACAATAGAATAATTTTATTAAACGTATGAAATCAGTTAACTATTTAATATTTCTATTTATTCATGACAAAAAAATATCTACATGTTAATAGTTATGCATAAATAGGAAATTTAAGAATTACATTCATATAAAGTAATTATCATATCAAGTAATAATAGTAATTTCGATCAAAACAAAATTTCAATAAAAGATTTCCTACTACTTTTTCATTGTAAAACGATAGATGAGATGAGTTGAGTTGCAAAAACTAGCTGATTGCTAACAAAGTAACAGTTATATCTTTTCTCTTTGGGAGCAGTGTGCAGTGCATACAACTAAACACTGACTTTCTTCTACTTTGCCTGCATCATGATTACATCGTCTGCTTAGTATTTTCGCCCCCTCCCACTGCAAACTTTTATTCTTTGCATGTATGGATGCTTTTTTTAATATTACAATAAATATTTAAAAAAGTATCTGCAAAATTTAAGAATCACCACCAATGTATCCTTGCAATGTATCATGGCGTGCATCGATATTATCTAACTATGTTCATGGGTAGTACAAAGTGCACACTATCTTTTAATTTAGATAATCAATGTGTGTGTCTATATTATCTAACTATGTTCATGGGTAGTACAAAGTGTACACTATCTTTTAATTTGGATAATCAATGTGTGCATCTATATTATCTAATTATGTTCATGGGTAGTACAGAGTATATACTATCTTTTAATTTGGATAATCAATGATGTTTACCTGCCAAGACATTCCTCTTTCAGTGAGACACTGCAGAGCTTCACCTTCAGGTAATCTCACAGACAATTTTTGTAAAGACATCAATAATGGTATTATAATTTCTAAACGTGGTCTGCGAGATCTCACACACAAAGGACACAAAAACTTGACATCTTTTGGCCCTTGGTGAAATGGTGTTGATAACAGTCCACTTTGGTTCAGCTTCCTTCCAATTCCAGATTTAGGTAAAGTAACACAATTTGCTGGTAAGATAAAAAGATGGACTTAAAGTTTGACAATTCCGCAAAACATACTAACAATAACTGCTGATTAAACTTAATTTTGATAGCTATAATCAACTTAAAATTAGATACATTGACAAATAAATACTATAGGAATTAGAGAGGCAAGATATTAGGTATTTATGTAAACAATTTAAATAAAAATTTAGAAATCAAAAACGAAATTCTAAAGCTATGTATTTTAGCAATAACAGCACTTCATCAAGGGACACACGGTCTGCTAACATACAGGAGCCTTTCTGTATGTGTCCCCTGATGAAGTGCTGTTTTTGCTTACATACATATCTTTAGAATTTCGTTTTTGGTTTCTAAATTTTTATTTAAATAAATGGTTTACATGAGACAAATTTGGGTTTAGCACTTTTCCATTTTGACTTATTATTTTAAAGTTTTTTCTTAATACAATTTCATACCTTGATTGTACTTGAATGATTATAGATTTACATTTAATAATGAATCTATTTATTGAAATTTATGAGAAATAGCAGACATTTCAATCAAGGAGAGATTGATAATGTTTAAAATTATTAATAAGTAACATTGATATATACCAGAACATTCTTCTGTATAAATTGATACTCTTTTTTAAAAACTAAGTTTTAAAATGGATGTCTTTCTATTTATTGGGTATATAACTGGACCCATTACAAACATGTTTTTATTTATAGGAATGTATAAAGATTTTGGCAAGTATTAAAATCGAAATTTAGAAATATTTGCAATCTTGTTTCTAAAAAGGAGTTAATATGTATTCAGCTTTTCTAGAAGACAAATCATTTAAGAAACAGTGTGATAAAAGAGAATGTCGAACAATTGCATTAGTGTTAAAAGGGTTAGGAAACTGATAAATAATACAAACATTCATTTGATAAATATCACGAAGTAAAGAACTCATGGCCAATAAGATTAACAGACCTCATATTGCTTTACATAAATAGTATAGTGAGACAGTAATATAGATTTAATTTTAACCATTTAACAGTCAAGTTGGGCAAATTTTTGCATATTCCTGTTTCTCAGTTTAATATAGCAAAACCTTTGAACACTGGTCTAACGTGACCAGTGTCGAGATGTGATCACTATTTGGAGTTGTTCAAAAAATAAATAAATAAAAACAAATTACACACAGTAGAATAAACACACTAAAATACTACTTGAACAATTATTCCTTTATATTTTAAATGTTATTTATCGTATTCTTCCACTGTCATATAGGGTAGTTATTTTTTGTAAGATTATTCCATTTTTATCAACCTCAATAACTTTGTTTCCATGTTTCAATGTAGGGAATTTTCGCTAAGGATAATTTAAATTATTTATTTAAGACGTAGCATTTCATCGTAAATTCTGTTTCACCTACATTGGTATTTAGAAAATTTAAAGTTAAGAGAAAAGTCCATCTGGGTTAGACCCGTGAACTTTTAATTGCTTAAAAATATTCTCAAAACATTGAAGTGCAAACAAATTATGGTAAAATAACTTCACTGTGAAATATTAAGCAATCCTCGATAATTTGTAGGCCTTTTGATATTTTTAAATTTATTTTTTTTTGCATTTGAAACTTTATGGTTCTTTCTAGGTTTACCTGAACTCACTTGTATATTTTAAATTCATAATTTACTTATGATATAATTTAGGTAAAAGAGAATTTGCCATGAAGAGTTTCTTCGTCCAGTATAGTGTCTTTTTAAATTTACCTTCAGGCATCTCTACCAAGTTATTTCTTTCACCTTTCCATGAGTAATTAATTCTTTGCATTACATCTGAATTGTATAAAATACAAGTTTACAATGACAATTCAAGAATTGTCACGCATTGTGAATGCTGGAGTAAAATTCATGCCCACTGCCCACTATTAGACAAAATTGAACTATCAAATTGTAATTAGGATTGGCTTCTGCAAAAAACACTTATAAATTGCTCTTTTACATTTATTTGAATGTGATGACTATTGAAGAAAAATGTGCTTAATAATAATCAATTAAAAATTTATTGCAAGTTAGGGATGAAAAAGTATACTCTAATTAATTAGTATTAAAAGTATACCCTAAAACAAAATTGATATTAGCAACATAACCGATGTTCAGAAATCCCTATATTGTCATGTAAATTCCATGGAAGATTTTCAGTTCTATGAAGATATGATCTTTCCTTGGGGGTCTCCATTGTTTAGACATGAGTCATGGTTAAAATATTTGATTTTAACTGTTTTTTGTTTTAAGGGAAAACATTCAAATTAATAAACTAACTAATTACAAGATGAAGTGAAACGACTAATTAAAGTAAAATGATTTGTGTAACTAAAGAAAATTTAAAATAAATGTTTATACAAACATAGTAAGTCTACTAGCCTAGTGCAGAATAAACAGAAAAAAAAATTAAATTTCTAAGCATTTAAATATGAGAAGACACTTTAAAGAGATGAAGTACACCACTTGAAAAAAAAGAGAAGACCGTTTAATAATTTACCATGAAACCAGTCTTTGCATAATTCACATTGAATCATACTGGCAGAGGAGGATTTATTACAAATACACTAACGTGAGTCAGGACCGTCTCCGGTGTGTTTTCTAATATTCTTTGCACGCAACATCAATATTGATTCTTATTCCTTTCTTTCAGCTTCTTTGAAATTAGCAACCTAAAAAGGAGAAGAAACTACTAAATCTAACTTTTCAGTGACATCTAATTTATATTGTTCTAAAATTTTTTAATTCTATTTAGAACGCATTGAACAGTTGTCAATATTTCAAAATGAAAATTAGGAAGAATTTTTGGTTGATAAATTATGTGATTAAAACGAAGTGGTGAGTACGAAAAATTTCGCATAAAATTAAATATATAGAAATATTAATTATAATGTAGGTTGCCCGTCTTCATGAGATATATTTCTATAAATATATTTATTATTTTAAAATTCATATAAAAAATACCAGTAAAAATAATATATATACAAATGCATATTTATTTTTTTAATAGTAATAATATCAATATTATATATGATTTAAACACATGTAGTAGTATATTCTAATCTACATTTTTCTCTTTGCAATTTAAAAAAAAATTTCTTTTTTAATTTCATTTTTAAGTTAATTTTTAATATTTTGAAAAACTTATAAGATACTTAAATTTTCAGTGGTTAATAAGATAAAGCAAAAATTAGGAAGTCTGAAAATGAGAATAACACAAAAATGACAACATAGGCAAAGCAAATAAATAAAATAATAAACATAAACAATTATCTAAATGCTTTTAAAAAAATATTTATTAAAGTACTAAAATTTTGAAAGCTATATCTCTTTAAATTGATAAAAAATCGTATCATAAATTTAGATAATAAAGATTAAAATAAAATTTTAAATGAGCAAAATCTATAGCTGTACTTACAAATGCTGATGTCTCTCTGGATTCTTCTAATCTTATATCCAAACTCACAGAATCTTCACATATACTATCTTCATTTTCTATCAGCTCTTTTCTTTTTACGTTTTGATGTGAGAGGGGCACCAATATCTTTTCTTGGAGAAAGCACCTAAAAGTAAATTTATTGAAAAATGTACTATTGTTTAGGGTTGCTTTGAAACCATTTTCTTACTTTAAAGATTTTTTTTGGAAAATTAATTGCAAAAAATCTATTTTTTCTAATATTAGTTGAACTA